AATTGTGACATTTTTACAACTTCTGTATTTTTTTTGTATGTTTTTCAGTAAACAGTATAATAAATACTACCATGTAGTGTATGAATTATTTATTATATATATTATATATGAACACAATGCAAAAAATCTTAACGGTCCATCAAGCAAAATATTTTTCTTTCTTTTTTTTGGTTGTGACAGGTTTAGCGAGATATACTGTCATATTTATGAATGCACATGTCTCTGATCTGTTATTTTGCTTTCTCCCCTGAGGTAATCATCCATGATACAGTGGCCCCAATGAACCCATTTTCCTGAGCACATAGAGTTCTGTTATTCCTGAAATCCACAACAGCTGTGAAGGAGGAGGGGTGTTTCTAAGAATTGCCTCCTCCTCTGCATGTGCTACAGTTACAGCCACATGCGAAAGATATACTAGTGAGGGACAAAGAAGATTGAGAAACATGCGGGGTAGAGGGTCCTTCCCATTAAATAAAAGGGTCAAGCATTTGTTTTTCGCAACATTAGATTAACTCAATGCCTAGTATCATATGGGAGCATGTAAGTTGCAAATCAGACAACCAGACATTGTTACATAACAACAAGCATGGCAGTTGGACTATCTTGCTGCAGACGGTCTGCCATAAATGATTAACTTGTTGTTCATATCAAACGTTTGTGTAGCAACAGGAATGTGTACCAGTGAGACATTTCGCAGGCACACTATATCTCAGATCATTACAATTTGATAACATGAAAAGAGGTTTTAGTTTTAATGTACTTTGTTAAAATGCACGCCCACAATCAATCAATCAATAAAATCACCATGAAAATGAAAATACAGGGTCTTATTGCAAGTCAACTAATATAGCAAAGGTTAAAAAGTATTGCACAGACTTTTATATTGCTTAAAATAGTTAAGATTGAGTGTGGTTTAACACATGGTGAGTTGTAACACCATGAGTTCAACCAAGAAATAAATGAGCTACAGTGGTTAAATCACAATCATCCATGACTAGCATCCTCCTGAGGTGACAGTAGAAGTTTTCTCTGCAAAAATATTAAAGATTTACAGGACAAAAATAATGCTTAAGCAAACATTTTTATTTGTGATCATTGATCATTTTAATGAACCTTAAATAACCTTGTTGAACCTTGCTGCTTAATTTGATGTACAATATCCATATATTTTTCAAAAAGCTAAAAATACATGTTCACCAACCTACACTATAAAACACGCTGTATAGGCACACAGTCTTACCTCCTGGTGTGGTGGAGAAGAGCGTTCCTCCAGGGGTCTGACTGTAGCAGTCTGGGAGCTGGGACCAGTCTTTGAGGTGCAGGACACGTGTGGGAATGGGGCAGCTCTTGCTCTGCTGCGTGTTGGCAGACATCGTGGGTGAAATGCGCTCAAAACTCTGTGCCACTGAACAAGATGATATACAAGGGCTCTGAAGGCTTGCTTCTATCCCACACTCGTGTTTGGTTAAGATCAAACTTAGCGCAACAAAGTTTCAAACTACACAAAAAAAACGACAAAGATATTTTGAGCGTGCTGCGGACAGCGCTGGTCTCGTGATACTCGCTGAAGAGAGGCTGTCCGTCCGTCCGTCTGTCTGTCAGCAGTGGTGCAGCCGAGCGCTTGGGGGTGAGGGGGTATTTAACAACAGCTCAGACTACGTGACTCGCCTCATGTGATAAACGATACTTGAGCAACAAAAAAGAAAACAGGCGGTGTAACATGCAGGGTTGCCAAATCTTTCAGGGAAATAGATTTCTTTTTGACAAATCTTCTGCCAAGGATGTGAATTTCCACGACACTTTACACAAACATGTATGGAAGCCAAGTTCCTACTTAATTCATGCATACATACAAACATACATACATACATACAAGTTATAATAAGTATGACATAGCCTACGTCTAAATCATATGATAAAAAGGTATAAGATAGAAATAGAAATATATAAATGAGATATAAAATACTAAGTCATAATTATAAATAAAAAGTTATCAGAAAAGTTATCATTATTAGTCATAATTTCCACTTTTACGTCATATGACTTACCAAAACATGGTTCTTTTTCTTGTGTCAGAAACGTGCTACCAGTAGTATAGGATGAAACATAAAAATAAAAAAATAAAAAACGTTTTCAACAAATGGTTAATAACAGGAGGTTAACCTTTATGAAAATTATGGAAAATTATTTTTGTCAACCTCAGGGGGTCAAGCTAATTTTATATGAGCTGTTTATTATTATTATTATTACTATTAATTTTGTGTTATTGATATTTGGAACATGTCTAAACAGCTTGAAGCTCAGTTTAAAAACAATTAACATTAATAATAGGGTTGTAAATGTAGCCTTTATATTATATATTGTATATTTTTCAGAAAGTAGAGAAAAAATATTAATCTTTTTTTAAGACTGTTTGAGTGAAATGCCAGGCAAATACGAATATAATCAGAAACTGTTCAAAGGTGTATCGAATAGGATTAGTCGTGTGTAAATAGTAACATAAGTTCCTGTTAGTGATACAGGTAGCGAACGAACGTCATGTACTAAAATAATATGGCACAATAAAATTTAGGCATATTATTGTCATATAGATTTAGAGCGCTGTAGTTTCACATCCCAAACAGAAGGTGTCGACAAACGCCTCTTTCAGTTTCTGAATCCGCCTTAGATCAGAGAAGAGCTCCGTTTATCGCCCGCTCATAGGCGAGCATAGTTCAGCTTCTCGTGTTTTATAATTAATTTACGTATTGTAGACGTATATATGAAGCTGTATGGTAAAATACTCTATTAAGGGGTAAATAAGTCACGTCTCTTTGCTTCGGTTGAGTAGACGAAGCGTCTTTGGGGGGGTTATCAGAAGGTATGTGGTTCAGCTAGCTCGCTAAGCTAACAGTTTCCTCACTTATGCAAAAGAGTTTCCCTCGTTTATTATGTAAATAACTATTAACTTAAAGGGTTTTTCTTGTTTTTTCGTTTTGACTGAATAGGGAATGTTTAGGTGCATAATTGATTGGATTGGCTTTTAATTAATAGTTGGCCTTGGCCCTGTTATGTATTTATTTTATTTTGGCTGGGCATTTTGCTTTATATGTTGTATGTCTGGGGTAGTTTACCATGCAGTGGTGCTTCATTTGAGATGCAGATGAGTGTCTAGAATTAAGATAATTTGAAAACAAATATTAGTATTTGTGTTCTACTATAGTATAATGTAGAGTCACTTATTCTATATATTGTGTTTAAACAGGGTTGTTTCCAGCATGGCGGATGGAGAGGGTTTTGTGGTGAGAGTCAGAGGATTACCCTGGTCCTGTTCTGTTGATGAAGTTCAGAGGTTTTTCTCAGGTAAAAAAAAAAAAAGCCTCTGCTTAAATCTTTTCCCCTTAGATTTTATTCCTTGCTTGACTAATACTAGCTAAATTTCATCATAGAGTGCAAAATTGCAAACAATGGGACAAGCATACATTTCACATACACACGGGAAGGGCGACCAAGTGGAGAGGCGTTTGTCGAGTTAGAATCAGAAGAAGACCTTAAAATTGCAGTGAAGAAAGATCGTGAAACCATGGGCCACCGTTATGTAGAAGGTGGGCAGCTGCTTTTGCCTTAGTTAGGATCCTTAAAGGAATAATTCAACCAAAAATAAAAAATTGCTGAAAATGTATGCACACACAGGCCATCCTTGTAGATGAGTTTGTTTCTTCATCAGAACAGACTTGGAGAAATGTAGCATTACATCACTTGCTCACCTACGGATCCTCTGCAGTGAATGAGTGCCGTCAGAATGAGAGTCCAAACAGCAGATAAAAACATCACAATAATCCACATGAATACAGTAATACATTGACATATTTGTTTAGAACTGTTTTGGACTGTTTTCACTTCTAAATCGTACTTGATCTGTGCATATTTCTCTCCTGATTCAGACAAGGCAGAAGCAACGGTTTGAAGTTAAAAATGTCTTTAATGGGTTTGTTTCTTATAAACACAGCTTTTCACTTCACAAGGTGTTAATTGATGGACTGGCGTGGTGTGGATTATTGTGATGTTTTTATCAGCTGTTTGGACTCTCATTCTGATTGCACCCATTCACTGCAGAGGATCCACTGGCAAGCAAGTGATGTAATGCTAAATGTCTCCAAATCTGTTCTGATGAAGAAACAAACTCATCTACATCATGGACTATTTCATCTATTTCATGGACTAAAATGCTGATCGATTCATATGTGCTTTCAGTATTCAAATCCAATAGTGTTGAGATGGACTGGGTTCTGAAGCACACCGGACCGAACTGCCCGGACACAGGAGGGGACGGCCTGGTTAGGCTTCGCGGCCTGCCATTTGGATGCAGCAAGGAGGAAATTGTCCAGTTTTTTGCAGGTATGTCCGATAGGAAGTTCGAATTGCCCTATTTACTCAAAATTAAACAGTATACCAACATTTAGCTAAGGTTATTTTAGTTCATCGGACCATCATTTGCACATAAACGAGCTTTGAACATTTAAATCAAAGTGCTCCGTTTCAGTCATTTAATCTTTAAAATTAGGAATAGTTGAAACTTGTATTGAATCTTAAGGATTGGACCATCCAGAAGGACCAAGATGGGTCACTTTTTATCCAGCTTTGTCCTTTTGTGCAATTATTAGAATTTGTACTTTCTTTCTTTGTTTCTTTTTTTTTTTTTTCCTAATTAAACTGCCTCAGCCCTTTTTGTATTTTATATACCTAAAACAGGTGCACAGCAATCTAGGTAATTTTTGGGGCTTACCAAACAAACAAGAGATGAGTTGAGACAGACGCTCAAGAGGCATTTGATTTAAGTGACCCTTCTTTTTCTTGCACAACATTATCCTTAAATTGTGCCAGAAAAGGTTCAAGTGTATTGCGGCCCCATTTGGTATGTTTATGTAGTACCATTTCATTTTTGACATAAAGAGAAACCCATAGAGTAATATAAAGTCTTGTTAATGGGCTTGTGACTTAATTTGTCCCCCACTGGGGTTATCTGTCCTTGGGTTGAAGGGTTGGAAATCGTGCCAAATGGGATAACATTGCCGGTGGACTTCCAGGGGAGGAGTACGGGGGAGGCCTTCGTGCAGTTTGCTTCACAGGATATAGCCGAAAAGGCTCTAAAGAAACACAAGGAAAGAATAGGGCACAGGTGGGGATGGCTGGTTGGTTGCCTGGATACGTTGCTTTTCTTATGGTGTTCACCTCAATAAATCATCCACTGCAGAAATGGCAAGATATGACCACAGATGATTTGAAGGCAAACAAAAAACAAGGAAAATGAAGTCCAGTAGCCTTAAGATGATGTATTATTAGTGCTGAGTGAGCCATTGAGCTGCACTGTGTCGATTTAGAGGGATAACTGAATATGGGCACTTTTGAGACAGTTTAGTGAATTTTTACTCTTAACTGTCCTTTACATGAGCATTCAAATCATTTTGGGTTGTAATGGGCAGTTATATCAGCCAGACATGTATGGTGCGGTAGAATTTCTGCAGAATTTTGCAGGCAAAAATCGTTCATTGTAAATTGTCTATAGTGTAGCGGTGTATGAAGCACAGTTCACGCAGAAGTCACTTTCAAACCAAGCAGCTTTCTGTTGGTTGTAGTGAATTTGTGAAAAGCTTGAACCTCTTGCAAAATCTGCATGGGGAAATCTTTGGTCCTCACATGAAATTCATGGTTGTGTCTGGATTCCTGGCTGTATTTCATCTGTAACTACATCTTAATACGGCAGTAGTTTAACTTATATGTTTGACATGAGTAATATTGTGAAATATTATTACAGTTTAAAATAACTGTTTTCAATTTGAATGCTTTACAATGTAATTTATTCTTGTGATGCCAAAGCTGAATTTTCAGCATCATCACTTCACTCTTCAGTGTCACGTGATCCAACAGAAATCATTCTAATGTGATATGCTGCTCAAGAAACATTTCTTATTATTTTAGATGTTTGACGTAAACCCTTCCCTGCTTCCTGGCTTGTCACGTGGCCACTCAGCACTAAGTTTTATGCAATAGGAATATCTCAGTTTTTCTACCATTTTGAAGACTTCAGATCACGAGGACCCAGTTAAACAGGTAATACAAAGTTAGCCCTAACAGTCTGAAGTGCTTTGCTAGCAGAGAACGAAAGCAGCGTGTCAGTCCAATAAGACCCAAACCACAGTAACACATTGCCAACTGCCTTCGGGTGACCATAAGAAAAGTTCTTCATAATGAAGGGTTGAATGAAACTAAATATTTTAGGGTTCTTCATTTTCTGTCTCTCTCTGTCTCTTTTTTTTGGAAACTGTTACATAAAGTCACTGAACGGAGACGCTGACTGTTAGTGTCATCCCAGAGTCATTCTTACTAAGGTTGCCTTTTCATTAGACCTGTTTTCAGACAGCCCTTATCTATACTGCACGCAGGAATGCCTTTTCTCTTGCCGGTAGACCCTGGTGCCATTACTCTGCAATTTCGTCCTTAGGTATATAGAGATCTTCAAGAGCAGCCGTGCGGAAGTGCGCACACATTATGAACCCCAGCGTAAGGTCATGGGCATGCAGAGACCGGGCCCCTACGACAGGCCTGGAGGCGGCCGTGGCTACAACAGCATGGCCAGAGGAGTCTCCTTTGAGAGAATGAGACGTGGAGGCTACGGTGGAGGTAAAGTATTTTCGGTTGTTATTAACATTGCTATAAATGCTATTGATAGAGATTAA